TGGGGCCAGGAGTGGGGGTGGTGCTGGAGGGATCAGAAAATGTGTCTGGTGAGGTAGGAAGGAGTAGAAAAAGGAAAAAGCAAACCCCCATCTTTTCCCCAACTTCCTGCCTGTGTATTGCTGATGCTGGGAGAGGAGGAAAGCCATAAATACAAAACAGGATCAAAATTTTAACTAGTACAGGAGGCTGGTCATTTTAATTACTAAACTTCAACTCTGTTCTTTGACTTGAAGTAACCAGAGAACAGTTTCCAGAAATGTTATGGAGTATGTCTTGAGTTTCCTTCCAAGGAAAGAACTGCATAGAATATACTTAAATGAATTATAAAAATCAAGTCCCTTGATGCATGCAGGGACTTACAGAAAAGTTTCAGAAAAATGAACCATACACATCGCTCATTATAGTTTATTTGCAGCAAATAAAAATGTGTGTCTAACATCACTAAGGTATTATTTCCAGGAGATAAAAACAGTAACTAAGGGCTAACCAAAAGCTCGTTTATGTTAATGTGAAAAAGAAAAGCTTTGAGCATAGTTTAAAGCTCGAAAGTGTAAAGGACACCAGAGATGCCTTTTGGTTTTCCAAAAAGACCAGGAGAATCAACACATGGTAAATACATCTGATCCCGCAAAGGGCCTCAAACAGAACAGGAAATGGACAATGTTAAGATCCCTAAAAGGGGTTTTAAAGACAATATGCTTCTGAGCAGGGAAATTCCATGAATAAAGAAGTATTTGAAAAAGTCTGTTCTTGCTCTACTACAAGAGATAGAAAGCTCAGGAAAGATCATCAGGAAGTAGGGAGACCTCTAAGGAGGCTGCTGCGGAAGTCTGACAAATAATGGAAATGTACTGAAACCCTAACACTGAAAACTAGAGGGGACCTTGGAGAGCTTCTAGGCCAATATTCTCTTCTTGAAGCCAGTCAAGCAAAACAGGTTCACAAAATGTAACTGACATAAAAACTCAGATGTGCTGCAAAACTTAAGTTCTTTATTTTGTCGAAAACCGATGTTTCCTGTCTCTCCACCTCTAATAACTAGCAGGTTTAAATACAGACATATTAGAGACATAGAGAGATCTCCAGTACAATCTCGTCATTTAACAGTCTCTTCAAGTAACGTTCAAGTAATGCTCTCTCATTTGAACAAAAATCCTCAGCCTCACAGGAGCCTCTTCCTGCCCAACCTCCAGTAAAGTTGCAACCATTTGGGGTGTTATATTCTCCTGGTATTGGAGTAAAGGGGCCCTCAGCCTCATGCCAGTCCTTGGACTGGCATCTGCTGGTCTCTGAACTGACGTCCCCTGTTCTCCTGGTTACAGTTTTCCCCATTGGCCTCTGTTGTTGCAGTTTATGGCCAGCAAATTTATGGTCCATTCCTTTAGCTTGGACTTTGTTCCCAGGAGAAATTGGCCTCTTCCTTCTGCCAACTCACCTTTTTCTCAATTCTTACTGGCTTCAAACTCCTGGTTTACCCTGCAGCCTCCATCCAGTACCCTGGCCTGATAGCCTTTTCTCAACCCCTGCCATGAAGTCACCTCACCCTGACTGTTCTCATGTCAGTGTCCAAATCCCTCCCTTCCACACATTGGTCAGGGTCTTTACCCCTACCCCTAAGCTCCCCACCGAGTCCAGTTAAGGGAACAGGAAAGAGCCATATGACATTGATAGCCCATCAACTTCCCAAACATTCCTTCAACCCAGGCTAAAGCCAAGAGAGGGAAAATCAGGACACATATTTCACTGGTTCCATATTCTGCCTCTTGCTATCCCTTCTGTCCACCAACCCCAGGCCAAAAAGGAGGTTAGCACTCCTTGTATTTTCCGAACTTGATCCCCCTTCTCTCTGACTGAAGACTCTTTATTATCCCTTAGAGAAGATTAGGGAAACCTTCACTAAACATTATGACAAGAAATAAATTACAACTAAAGACCCTGGACTAATCTTAATATAATATATGGGCTTAAAGGGTTAAGAATTCCTAACTCTTCAGGGTACCCAGTGGCTCAGTTGGTTAAGTGTCCAACTTTTTATTTTGGCTCAGGTCATGATCTCCGTGTCATGAGATAGAGCCCCTGGTCAAGCTCTGCACTGGGCGTGGAGCCTGCTTAAGATTCTCTCTCTCCCTCCCACTTTGTCCGTCCCCACCTCCACCCCCACCCCACCTCTACTTCCATGTGTGCATGCGCTCTCTCTCTCTCTGAAAAAAAGAAAAAGAAAAAGAATTCCTAACGCTTCAAAAGCTTTCAAATAGGCTTTCAAATCTCTTACAAATTTATCAAGTATGCGCCTTCTATTTACCAAAGAAAATCACAAGGCCAGCCCATATTCAAAGGTTAGGGAAATAGACTCTTCTCCTTAGTGGAAGAAACAACAAAATACTGTGGCCAAATATTTCAAGCCACAAGAGGGGAATAAGGGCTGAGTCTTCCATTAGAGTCTTCCCCCAAATCCACCCAACATCATCTATTGGCATATCATTTTCTACCCCTAGCTACAAGAAAGGAAGAAAGTGAAATCTTTCTGCTGGACCCATGGCTGTCTAAAATAAAAGCAGAGTTCTGCTAGTAGAAGTAGAGATGGAGAAGGGATCTGGAGACATTCTCACCACATTAAGTATCTCCCAAGGTTACATGAGTTTTTCTGAGCCTGTGTTCTTAACCCTTAAATAAATATTACCCCAAAGTAACATCTGCTGTCATTCTATTTTGCCAAACAGGTGCTTAATAAGTTTAAACATCCTTTCTCCAAAATAACTTACTGAAATCCCCTGATATGTCCAGCACTGTGAGATGCTAGAGAACCTTCCTCAGTAAGGGATTACAATTAGTGAATAAGATGGGCTGGTAAAGAGCTAGGATATCATGTGGTAATTACACATGCATACACAGAGCACTAAGGGAGCTCAGACAAGGGGCAGGATCAATCTTGAAAGCTCATTCCTGACTCTTTCTGGTAGAGGATTTTAAGAACGTAACTACAAGGGGCACCTGGGTGGCTCAGTTGGTTACGCAACTGCTTTCAGCTCAGGTCATGATCCTGGAGTCCCGGGATCGAGTCCCACATCGGGCTCCCTGCTTAGCAGGGAGTCTGCTTCTCCCTCTGACCCTCCCCCCTCTTATTCTCTCTCTCTCATTCTCTCTCTCAAATAAATAAAAATCTTTAAAAAAAAAAAGAATGTAATTACAAATTCAGCATTTACTCATTCAACCTGTGCCAGTTTCTGTTCTAGATACTGAGCACAGCATCAAAGATGACTGCCCTGAAAAACAATATCATGAAGCCATTACTGCTATATATAAATACAGAGTGACCTGGCAGGGAGTGCCGGAGGGAGTATCATGGAAATGTGTTGGGGTGGTCAAGGAAGGCATCTTTAAGGAGGTGACCTTTGACGAGAACTAAATAATGGGAAGAAGCCAGGTATGTGAAGATATGCCTCTCAGGTCTAGAGAATAGTCAGTTCAACAGTCCTGAGTTGGAAACTATGAAGAGAAAGAGGGTCAATGTGACTAGTGTGCAGTGTGAGAGAAAAAGAGCTATGGGGCATGAGAATGGATAAGTGGGCAAGCATGTACTTGTAGGTTGTGATAAATGGTTGAATTTGTGTACTAAATGCATTGAGAAGTCAGAGGATTTTAAAGCAGAAATAGGATAGCATATGATTTATGGTTTTTGAAAGATCACTGTTACGTAAAAAAAAGATTGTAGGCAAATAGGTTTAAAGGAGGAGAAAAATAAAATTAGGAACTAAGAGCTTACTGCATTCACAAACTGAAAGGGAATTATGTTCCTTTTGTTTTCATAACATTAAGTAGTAGTAATGCTGAGCAGAGAGTAGCACTTCAGTCCATCCAGTATATTTCCTCTCCTCCATTCATTCATTCATTCATTCTGCAAACATTTTTTCTAAGTCCTTTTATGTTGTAGGCACTGATCCTACCTAATCAGCAGAGCATATCATCCCCAGTGCTTTCCACAATTCCTGATTCCAGGAAATGCTAATGGAAGAACCACTGAAGAATTCCTAACATCCTATCTCACTCAGGCTATCTTGAACAGCAATGATTAAATATTGTAAATCAGATATCTTCTGGTTCTCATATTCTATGATTCTATGATAGTTCTATATTATTTTAGGAATTTTTAAGAAATTGCTTTGAGGAAGTAAGATTCAGAGAGAAATATGGATACACAAATATGGGGACACATTTTATTCATTATACTAAAAAAAGAACTTTTTATTATGGACGAATGATAAAGATTCTAGGAATTTTTTCCAAGATATTTTTACATTGTTCCTCAGAGACTTTATCTGTGCTAGTGTCTTTAGAATGCTCAAATCCATGTTGTCGGTCCAATCTTCAGTCTAGAATCATTCTATAAATTTTAAATTGGAAAAAAATGCAATTTGGCTTTACAACCATATGTATGATCTATTTGAAATTTGTAAAAGGATTGTGACATTATTGCTTATTCTTGTATTCTCAGGAAAAGAAAATATGATCACTTAAAGCTCCTAATCCCCACACCTCAAGCACACAACAATTAGCAATTGGATCACTGATGAAAACAAACGCTATTCCAATTCAAACTGAGTATCACTACAGTGAGAAATGTTAACTTCTAATGACCTGCTGGCATTAATGAGTTTTTAGTAAATCTAAATATATCTAAAGACTGGAAGGAAGCTATTACTGCATCAAGAAGTAAGAGTCCATCAACACATTTTGTGCTTCAGTAAATTTCATAAAATGTGGAAACATCATGAAGCATTTTGAATTGTGAAAACACATTAGTCAGTGGAGGCACACTAGTCTATCTTTCTAATGAACAAGATGACTGAGCCCTGGAACAGACACAAGTGCTTATAAACCTCTTGGATCTCTAGGGCCTACCCAAAATCTGGTAAATCTAGCCTATAACATTGCCTAAAGAGAGAAGAATGTTTTAAAATGGGTCCCTAGAGGATGACTCTGTGTTTAACTACAGACTCACCATCTTAGCAACACCAGGCCCAGGAGCTCACCAGCACAAACCACAACAGCATACACCCAGATGGTTCGGACCTTCAAACCAAGACATTCACGGTCACACTAGAACACATCCATGTGGTATGACTCAAGAGTCACCTAAAATGTTTGCAAAGACAAAAACAGATCTAATAAATAAAATACTTATATTTAATAAATAAAGTCAGGATGATTAAAACTACCAAATGTTGGCAAAATTTCTTCAGGATCAAAGAATAAAGGTAAGCTTGACTGCCTACACAGCCTGATAGAGGAAAAGGCCCCTAAAGAACAGACCAAGTTAGAATTAATGTGAATCAAATCAAATCTGGTTGCTGGTGCCTAGCAATGGGATAGAGGGAGGAAAATAGTGATAGGGTAAGGGCTACATACAAAGATAAGCCAGGAATAAAAAGTTGGGATAGGGGCACCTGGGTGGCTCAGTCGTTGGGCGTCTGCCTTCGGCTCGGGTCATGGTCCCAGGGTCCTGGGATCGAGCCCCACGTCGGGCTCCCTGTTCAGCGGGAGGCCTGCTTCTCTCTCTCCCACTCCCCCGGCTTGTGTTCCCTCTCTCGCTGTGTTTCTCCCTGTCAAATAAATAAAAAATAAAAATAAAAATAAAAAATAAAAAAAAGTTGGGATAAGTTAACTAAACACAGTGGCCACCCTATCTCGAAGGTCTCAAGAACATGTGGTATGGGCTATGCTCACATGTGTCCCAGGTTGTTTAATGATCTTAATAATGAGTTCCCAACTGTAGCCTTCACTTTATAGTGTAACCAAATACAAGAAAATAAAACATCAAAGGTAAGAATAGGTAGTCAGTAAGTAGAAGCCATTTCCCTGATTTATTTAGCAAATTGAGCCACTTACAACAAATTAGCAAGGCATCAGTAATTTATTTTTGGAATTCATTAACACCGAACTATTTTCATGCTCTGAAATTGTTACCTTGGGATGAGATGCTTTCTCTAATAATTGGAGCTAATTTCTTAAAATAATAAACTACTCCTTTTGGTCATTAGGTTTGTTTAGTTTAAGTGCAAGTTTATTAAAGTAGGCTTCAAAGGTAAGTCATTAAGCAGGGAAATTTGGTGCTTGCTGTTTTCAAAGACTTAAAAATTACTTATTTCTGAAATGTATCTAAAGCAATAACACTCCTTTAAAAGAAACAAACAGTCTGAGACTCAAATTTGGCTGGATCTCTTGGGATCGCATTATGATTCAGATCAGAAATTAGTTAGGAGGGTAGGATATCTCCTAACCCTGTGTTCCATGAACAACATCTAACTGACATGGGGAATTCAGCTTAGTATTAGAGCTGCACAGATTCCTGGGCTGTATAGAAGCGGGAATCATGGAGAACATCTCTGACTTATGGCTATGGTTTCCACCTAATGCTGACAAACTTAAAATGAAAACCCATTGCTCCTATTAAATAAAAGAAATTAGGGGCGCCTGGGTGGCTCAGTTGGTTGAGTATCTGCCTAGGGCTCAGGTCATGATCCCAGGGTCCTGGGAACGAGCCCCGCTTTGGGCTCCCTGCTCAGCTTGTCCCTCTGCCCCTCCCCCTGCTCATGTTTTCTCTCTCTCTCTCTCTCTCAAATAAATAAATAAAAATCTTTAAAAAAAACTAATTTGCGGGCCGCCTGGGTGGCTCAGTCATTAAGCGTCTGTCTTCAGCTCAGGTCATGATCCCAGGGTCCTAGGATCGAGCCCCGCGTCGGGCTCCCTGCTCCCTGAGAAGCCTGCTTCTCCCTCTCCCACTCCCCCTGCTTGTGTTCCCTCTTTCGCTGTGTCTCTGTCAAATAAATAAATAAAATCTTAAAAAAAAAAAAAAAAAAACTAATTTGCCAGTTCCTTAGGTAAAGCCTTATTGTAGTCACCCTGTAGAACCAATTTAAGCATGGTAATAATATGAACAAAATAGCAATCTAGTGTCTCAGATCAGGTGATGTGCAAAGTGTAATGTATTCTCCATTCGTTTTTAGGAATAGGAACTAATTATCTGATATATTACATATACTCTCCTCAGGGGGCATCCACCAGACTTCTTCCACTAGGATAAAGAACAAAGTTGTTAGTCCTGAAAAGATGAATTTATAAAGCCTTTTTAGGTACACTCATTAAGTGTCTTATTTCTGGACTGTAAAAAAAAAGAATATTAAAACTTGTTTTTAAAAGGACTTAGATCACAGTAGCTCATTCTACATGCTAAAATCATTTAATTTGTTGCTTTTGATGTTGCTAATTGGCCACTAGTTCTTTTGATTTAAATGGATATGTTTTCCCCACATCAGTTATGCATCTTACTATCACTACTGAGTTTGACATCATATTGAAATAGTGTTCCCAGTAGGTAACCAGTCTATGTAAGTTATTAATGTTTAGCTGAGATACTAGTTTACCCTTTATTAAAACATCTCTTTGCCATGTTAATACATGATAATGTTCCTTTATTCCCACTATTTTAAAAGTAATTTGAGCAAATTTAATATTGAAATGTACAGAACTATTTTCACTTTTATGTATCCAGTTATAAAATATCTTAAAAATTTTAGACATTGAGCTTAATTTAACAACTCAAAATTCCACATAAACCTAGAAAAGAAAACTATGGTATGTAAAAAACCACCAGTGCAGTCCTAAGAACAGACATCTTTACAACTTTGTTGATAGATCCTGGATTCAACCAGAACAACTGGGAATATGTGTACAGCATTCAAGAAATACTTCCTTAAAAATGTCACACTGACTTTGACCTTATCCTCTATAGGGGCAGTTATGTCTCCTGTGCCCCTAATTGTCCCAAACTTTCACATTCATATCAAATGATTATCTGTCACTCTTCCCTAACTCTTAAAGCAAAATCAGACATTCCCCTACCTCTAGCAGTAAAGAATATGTCTTCCACCTTCTTCTGACTTTATAGGACAAATGTGCTTTCACATCCCCTGATCTAAAGAAGCAAATCATCTACCTATTACCAGTAGAAATGGCTTCCCTCCATCCATCAGTCCCAGCCTGCAAACAGCTTGGATCCAGCCTTACAGCACAGGAGAAAGAGGAAGGGGTAAGACAGAATAAGAATTTACTGGGGCTCCTGGGTGGCTCAGTTGGTTAAGCATCTGCCTTCGGCTCAGGTCATGATCTCCAGGGTCCTGGGATTAAGCCCCACATCAGGCTCCCTGCTCAGCAGGGGAGTCTGCTTCTCCCTCTGCCCCTCTACCCGCCCCCTTCTGCTCTCTCTCGTGCTCTCTGTCTCTCAAAAAAATAAATAAAATCTAAAAAAAAAAAAAAAGAATTTACTGCAGTTGTATTAGGAGTCAGAGGCACAGCAATCACACTTACCACATGGCCCACGGTACAAGGAATCATTTGAAGGACCACCTATTTACTAATCCTGCTTGGAAGCCTTGTTCAGCATCTTCTCTTTGGATTTAGTTTAGTGATGAATGATCCAGTCACCTGGGCAGCTTAAGCAGCTACTCTGAGAGTACTGTCATCACCAGGCAAGGGTAATTAATCAAGGAGATGCCACATCTATCTGTAAAAGAAAAAAGCTGTATACTAGTTACATCCAGATTGCCATAGTCAATCTTTGCGAAGTCATATCTTACTACTCCTGATCATAGCACAGAATTCTGCTGACAAATGAAAAACTTTACTGTAAGAACAAACAGACTAAAATAAGTTCATTGCCAATTTGCCTCTAATTAGCAATGCCAATTTAGCATAGTATGTGTGCCCCTGGAACTCAGTCTTCCATCTTTCTGACACTATTTCAAAATCTTCAAATCCTTTTTATAGAAAAACACAAAAAGAAGCTGATTCCAGCTGTGACTTCATTCCATATCTCTAAAGATAGTATAATTGTCCAGTCTTGGGCCTGGCAACATCTGTATTTATTCTTTAGTCCAACACTTTTTTAAAAATTAACTGTAAACTGAAAGAAAACTGATAACTAATGGGACTAGGCCGTGTCCCATTTCATAGTAGCTACAAATTTTCCTATTTTAAGGGTTCTGACACATTTCTGTTAACTCATTTTTTTAATCAGCTCAATTACTTTCTACAGTCTAACTAACATCTCTACTTAAATTTTACAAGACTCTCATTTCTTCCCTTAGAATGTGAGTCATTGTCAAAGCACTATCTGTATAATGTCTGATGGCTGACGGGACGGGTTCATGATTTGAGGAATGCTGTTTATAACAGAGAGATTTAAAGTTGGATTCTCCTGGACAACAGTGATACAAACAAATTCTTCCTTAATCAACAAAAAAGATTAGTCATAAAGTGATAACTGGATTTTTCAGTAACTACTTCTTACCCTTCCATTCTTGTAACTTCTCTTTGATCTACTATTCCTAGAATGTCAAAAGAAATAAACTTTCAAGTGCCTTTACTTTATGCGAAAATTCACTCAATATTTCTCAGTTACAGGGGCAAGACATGCTTTTCAAGGCATGCAGGGCCTTCATACAACAATAGCTCCCAACTGCCTTCCTGCTGTTAAGTCCTTAAAAAACATTCTGTCCACTTAATTTTCACCCCTTCTCAGCCAAATTTTTCATGCTTCCCATCCTTGGTAGGCATTTTACTCTATTCAACTGTATTAATCAGACTAAATCAGGCCTCCCCTTGGGCACATCTCCTAATTACAGGTTACCATGACAATCAATCCTCTATAATTACCAATAAGTCATTATTGTGGTTTCTTTTCAAAGATCTACCCTTCCTGCAGAAGAGTTAAGTTGTTCCTAGATAAGGCTGATCTTAACCTAGGTAGAGTAGGTAATGTGCTATGAGAGAGTAAGACATGATCTGACTAAGGAATATCGGGAAGATTCTAGAAAAAAAAAAAATCCCTTTAAAATTCTTCATACAAAGCTTCCCTTTTAAAATATGAATATTCTGGGAGAGTTATGCTATGGGCTGAATGTTTGTGTCCGTTCCAAAATTCACATGTTGAAAATCCTAATCCCCAATGTGATGATATTTGGAGATGGAGCCACTGGGAGGTAATTAGGTCATGAGGGGTGGAGCCCTCATGATGGGATTAGTGCCCTTGTAAGAAGAGACACAGACAGGATTTGTTCCTCTCTCCGGTCTCTACCAGGTGAAGATACAATGAGATGACCTCCTGCAAACAGGAAAAGGACCTTCCCTAAGAACCTGCCCCTGCTGGCACGCTGATCTAGAACTTTTAGAAATAAACGTTGAAGCCACCCAGCCTATGGTATTCTGTTATAACAACCCAGACTAACCTAGATGGGTTAACTCAGCAAACTATTCACATGACAGAGTCAGAGATTTATAAAATACTTTCACCTCTATATGCTTATTAAGACACAAAGTATGAGAGGCAGGATGGAGTAGGAAAAAGGTATGTAATAAAATAAAGCACAGCTCACTGAAGGCTAATTCTACCTAATTAAAAATTGTTCCTGTCCCAGGGAGTCACATTTTGCTCAAGGCAAAATAAATATTCTAAACTAGATTGAACAATAACTAGTCTTGATTTACACATTTTATTTTAGTTCATTTTAGGTTTGTCTTTTCATGAGATGGTTTATAGCAGCTCCAGAATTTGTGTTATTTTCTTAGAGTACAATGCTCATTATTGAAACTTCCACAAAGCTCTTTACATAAAAAAGATACCAGGGAAATATCTGAGTCACTAGAAGCATAATCTTCTAAAAGAATTTCAAAGTCAATAAAATTACCTCCAGATGATGCTACAAGAATAACTTAATTTAAATAAAAGATGACTGTCAAAAAGTGCCAGATTTTGAGAAGTTCTGTGTCATACTTCATTGCACACTCTTTAATGTCATTTAAAATTTTTTTCACACTTATCATGATCCTCTGAACAAGGATGATTTTTACATTATGAATTAATGAAATAAATGAAATAAAATTTATAAAGAAAAGCATAGTGTAGATATATGCTGGAAAGCAATGAAAGAATTTTCATCTATTAATAATTTACCAAGGTCACATCACAATTTGTAAGCCAAATTTTAATCTCTCATTTTCCATATTTAAAAACCACCCCTATGCATGTACTTGGAATCCATAACATAAAAATTATAAGCTTCAATAAATTCCATAAACTCAGGGCACCTGGGTGGCTTAGTCGGTTAAGCATGTGACTTCAGCTAGGGTCAAGATCTGGGACTCCTGGGATTGAGCCCTGTTTCGGTCTCAGCAGGGATTCTTCTCATCCCTTTTTCTCCTCCCCCCTACTCATGCTTTTTCTTTCTCTCTCAAATAAATAAATAAATAAATAAATTTTTAAAGATTTTATTTATTTATTTGAGAGAGAGAGAATGAGAGAGAGCACATGAGAGGGGGGAGGGTCAGAGGGAGAAGTAGACTCCCTGCCAAGCAGGGAGCCCGATGCGGGACTCGATCCAGGGACACCAGGATCATGATGTGAGCCGAAGGCAGTTGCTTAACGAACTGAGCCACCCAGGTACCCCTAAATAAATAAAATCTTAAAAAATAAATAAACTCCATAAGCTCTCCTTTTGGTCTTCATCTTAGAAATGCCAGATACAACTTGAAATTTTTTTATCACCGCTACATAATTTTAGTTAACAGTCTTAGGAAAACATAGCTGACAGTTCACATTTCCAAATGAAATTTGGAACAAAGATAGCATAGAAAGCCATTCTTAAGAAGCTACTGGCTAATTTCACAATTTTGCATGAAAAGTGGTAGCTACATTTTTTTTGTTGGTATTTAGAATATACCATTTATAAAGAATGTATATAAAGTACTAGATAAGAGTCAAAATATTTGAGGGAGAATAGAAACCAAGATGCCTTTATTCAGAATATAGAAAACCTTATTACCCTTGGACCTAATTTCTCAGTATTAGTTTTGCTAAACTTTTATAAAGTTTAAGCAATTTATAGATATTTTCTTAATGGTAAATGTACTAGATGAAAAAGCTGAAGCATATGACCTCAAATTATTATCTCAAACTCCCATTCCAAGTTTGTTATTTCTTTTTTTTTTTTGAAAGATTTTATTTATTTATTTGAGAGAGAGAATGAGAGAGAGAGAGCACATGAGAGAGGGGAGGGTCAGAGGGAGAAGCAGACTCCCTGCTGAGCAGGGAGCCCGATGCGGGACTCGATCCCGGGACTCCAGGATCATGAACTGAGCCGAAGGCAGTCGCTTAACCAACTGAGCCACCCAGACGCCCTCAAGTTTGTTATTTCTAAAATTTTCTTCCTTGATTGAGTATCCCCTATGGTACACACAGTCAGTTTGGAAAGCACTAGTGTAAAGAAATGGGCTTTGAAGATACTTCCAATCCTGGCTCTGCCACTTTTGAGCAAGAGCAAGTTAATTATTTCAGATGTAGTCCCTCCATGGGGCTAAAAATTCCTGTCATAAAAGTATTGTTAAGAATAAGTAAGATAACTTTTTGAGGAACCTCCATACAGTTTTCCACAGTGGTTATACCAGTTTGCATTCCCACCAATAGTATAGGAAGGTTCCTCTTTCCTCACATTCTCATCAACACCTGTTGTTTCTTGTGTTGTTGGTTTCAGCCATTCTGACAGATGTGAGATGACATCTCATTGTAGTTTTGACTTGTATTTCCCTGATGATCAGTGATGCTGAGCATCTTTACATGCGTCTTTGGCCATTGGTATGTCTTCTTTGGAGAAACATTTGTTCATGTCTTCTGCCCATTTTTTAATTGGATTATTCATATTTTGGGTGTTGAGTTGTACAAATTCTTTATATATTTTGGAACTAACCCTTTATCAGTTATGTCATTTGCAAATATCTTCTCCCATTCCATAGGTTACCTGTCAGTTTTGTTGATTGTTTCCTTTGCTGTGCAGAAGCTTTTTATTTTGATGAAGTACCAATAGTTTATTTTTGCTTTTGTTTCCCTTGCCTCAGGAGGGAATTTAAATAAAAACTTTAAAAAAAAAAAGAATAAGGTAATTATGTAAGTGTTCCTCTCGTAGATCCTGGTGTATAAAAGACAATCACTAAACAGTAGTTTTCTTCCTTTTTAATTCAATTATTCAACAAACCTTTACTGACCAGTTATAAATACTGGTGCTGGATGCTGGAGATACAAAGACAGCCAAGACTCCATGTTCCATTCAAGCCCGTGGTTTAACAGGGGAGAAGGATATATACACAAATATTAGCAATACAGTAGGAATATTTCAATACTATAGACTTATTTATCCATTCAACTAGTTATTATGTGAGTTATACATCAGGCATTCTACTTGGTACTGGAAATCCAAAAGTAAAATTTAATCCCATCTGGGAAGGCTATCAATTGTAGATTCTATTTCTTTACTATCTAGAAGGATTCATATTTTCTCTTTCATGCATGTCAGTTTTGTTAGCTTGAGTTTTTAAGGAACTTGTTTATCTAAATTCCTTAATGTGTTAGCCTAAATTAGCTTATATTTCCTTCCCATCATTTTAATGTCTGTAAAATCAGTGGTGATGTCCCCCTCTTTCATTTCAATATTGGACATTTGTGCCTTCTTTCTC